CCCCTCCTCGCCCCCCCTCCACAGGCCCTTCCCCAGCGCCCCCCTCCACCTCCTCGCCCCCCCCAAGGCCATTCCCCAGAGCCCCCGATCCTCGCCCCCAGACCCTTCCCCAGCGCCCCCATCCCATGTCTCCCTCCCCCGCCCAAAGCCTCCTGCTCCCTCCTCACCCCCCGCGAGGACCGGCCCGGGGCTCTCACCATCATAGTAGTAACAGACTTTCCGCTTGGTCCCCTGTGTCAGCGCCATTTTCCTGCCGCCCGACCGCACCAAACCCTCCCGCAGCGCAACCGAACGCGCCCCGGGGGCCAAGCACCCCGCGAGCAGTTCCTCCCGCCCCCGCGGGGCAGCAGACCTATCGGGGAATGGCTTGTCCCCACTTCCCTCAGAGCAGCCAATGAGAAGTCAGGTAGGGCGGGGCGGTAGGATTAGCACAGTAGGTAGAGAGCAAGTGTTCCTGGACTGTACCATTCCCAGAGAAGGGGGAGAAAAGGAGGAAGGGGTTGGCAGGACTGTACCATTCCGAAGAATGGGGGTCTGGTCAGACAGGAGTTTACCATTGGGGGGGAGGTAAAGGGAAAGTACCATTTCTCAGAGAATGGGGGGGGGGGAATCACGCAGGCAGGTACCATTCCCAGGAGGGCTGATAGGACTGAACCATTCTCACAGGAGAGGTGATCTGGGCAGCTAGGGCTAAACCACTTGACCCTTGCTGCCACGACATCACGTGCCACATGGCTGTACCCACATTGCCATTTGATCCCTTGCTAGTGCCGGCCCACAATGCACTGCCCAGGGTCTGGACGCGCCCACGGGCCTGGCTGGAGCCCTGTAGGACAGGGCTACAATGGGATGGGGGTAGCAGAAGTCCCACAATGCACTGGGGCCAGCATGGCTACAGGGGACCTGGGAGGGGGGGCACTGTGTGTCTGCCCCAGCTGCGTGGGGCACATTAGGGTGACCAGACGTCCCCATATTGGGGTTTTGTCTTATATAGAGCAACTACCCCTCTCCTCCCTCCACCCCGAAAAAAGTATCCCATTTTTCACACTTGCCATCACCCTAGGACACATTGACACGCATGAGGGGCAGCTGTTTGGTCATGCCTAAGGCCCTACCAAATTCATAGTCCATTTTTGTAAATTTCACGATCATAGCATTTTAAAAATCTTGAATTTCATGGTTTCAGATATTTAAATCTTAAATTTCACTATGTTGTAACAAAGCCTGAATATATACTTAAAAACAGCAACATATGAACATATAAAGCCCTTATGTCAGCATTCCTCAAAGTGGGGTTCTCAACCCAAGAGGGGGTCGCAAGGCTATTGTGGGGAGGAGGGTCGCAGTATTGTCACTTTTGTTTCTGCGCTGCCTTCAGACTGGGTGGCTAGAGAGCAGCTGTCTGGATGCCCAGCTCTGAAGGCAGCGCTGCCACCAGCAGCAGCACAGAAGTAAGGGTGGCAGTACACCATACTCTCTAGCTGCCCAGCTCTGAAGGCAGTGCAGAAGTAAGAGTGGCAATATCACAATGCCCCTACAATAGCTTTGCAGTTCCTTTTGGGTCAAGACCCCAGTTTGAGAAACTTTGTATACTTTCCCCCTGTAGTATAGTATATAGTGTAAAAGTACACAAAACACCAGATTTCCCGGTGCATGACACGTTTTTCATGGCCATGAATTTGGTAGGGACCTAGTCATGTCACAGCCCCAGATCCCGCACCTAGGGACTCCCTGACAGGTGTCACCCTAGCTCCCCCGCATGCCAGTTGTGACAAGTTCCTGCTATATCCTTGCAAGACTTAGTTCTATTAAGTTTATGTTTTATCTTGGGCTGGGACTGTATGTAACCTCTCTGGGGGGATGTGAAACCTGGGAGTTCAAAAGACTATATTGAAAATGGGCCAGACAAGTGTGGACAGTTGGGACAATAAATGTTAAGTGGATTTCCTGGGAATACCTAGGGAAAGGTTAATGCAAATTCCCCAACTCTGGTTATGCGAAAACCTAGCCTTTTATGCCCTAAGGAGAAGGTGAGTGTCTGCTGATTACCTGCAAAAACAGCAGGAGTACTTGTGGCACCTTAGAGACTAACAAATTTATTAGAGCATAAGCTTTCGTGGGCTACAACCCACTTCTTCGGATGCATATAGAGTGAAACATTGAGGAGATATATATACACACATACAGAGAGCATGAACAGGTGGGAGTTGTCTTACCAACTCTGAGAGGCCAATTAAGTAAGAGAAAAAAAAACTTTTGAAGTGATAATCAAGATAGCCCAGTACAGACAGTTTGATAAGAAGCAAGTGTGAGAGTACTTACAAGGGGACAGAAGGCCAAGATCAAAGGCACGAGCGATATACAGAAACAGCTGGTCTTCCCAGCCTGGGTTCTGGTTCTGGATCTTTGTTGGATATGAATTTGTAACCACAGGAAAAACCCAGTTGTGGATTTTGAAGGACTGACACCTACCAGAGCCCTAGGCTGGATTTGGGGGGTGACCTCTGGTAAGCTTTCTAGCATGCATGTAGGTTCTTTTATTGTTTTAATGTGCTTTTGCTGGAATGCTTTTACCTTAAGAACAAATGTGCTTGCTTAGCTGGAACTGGGTGGTAACTTACCCCTCTGGGCAATACACTGGGCATAGAAAGAAAGCAAAGCACAGACGCTGTCCTTTAAGGCAGACTGGCTTGCTGGGAATTTGACATGGTAAACCAGGGGACTGTGTAGCCTTAAAATCCCTGGTTAGGAAGGCGTGAGACACGGGTCTCCGCCCAAGAGACATGACGACTGGGAGCCGGAAGCTAACGTGGACCATGCATGGGGAATACTGGTACAGCTATCCTGAAACTGTGATACCAGCACCCCCCCTTACTGGGTACTGCCTGAGTGCTCCCATTGACCCTGTCAGGCGGTAAGTACGTCCCTCCTGAGCCCCCTACCAAGCCGCAGCTGGTACCAAGTGCACCCCTTGCCCCCTGAGAAATGCTGCCTCGGCTCCCCCCCCTCACCAAGTGCCCTGGCCTCCTATTGGGCCTGGCTTAGGGCCCAATCCTGCAAGTTCCCTGTTGGGCTCCCCTGTGAGGTTCTGAGAAGGAGAGCCAGTAGCCCACCTTCAGCTCTGTATACACACAATGTCAAGTTAGGATGAGCAGCTCCCCTCCCGCCCACCCCGGAATGGAGGAAGGAGGCTCCATTTCAAAGGTCTTTATTTACTGAAAATCAAAGAGCAACACAAGACAGGGCTTTAAAGTACAATGGGAAATAAAAGAGCCCTGCACGGGCTGGGTATTCAGGGTGGCTTGTTCCTAAAACAGGGAGTTGGGAGGGTTTCTCTCAAACAAGCCTTTTGTGAGACTAGGCAGAACCCCCGATTGTAGGGATTGGTCCAGACTAGAGCCAACACCTGCCGAGTAAAATTCTGAGACCACTTCTGGATCTAAATGTTGTGGTTTGAACCTGTCTCTGTCGACTTTCCAGGACACTAATGTCACGTTCAACAGTGCAGAGAAACCAGAAGAACTTTTGCCTCTGCAGCTCCTGCCGGTTGAAACAGCCTTCTGTATCTCTCCACACCTCTTGGACTCACCAGGTCCTTTGCAGTCTGAGCTGAAATCCTCTCCTTTTCCTCCTGCCTGGTCATTCCTCTCTCCCTTTGCTAAAATGTTTGAACTGGGTGACTGCTTTACCAAACTTTCTAAAGGGTTCCGGAACCCGTTGTGTGCGACAGCCACTGGTCAGAGTCCAGCTGTGTGGTTTCAGAGTGAAAATGAGCAAGCAAGCAGGGCAGAGAGTGGCTGCTTCATGGGCACTGGGACACATAGACGTGGGCAGTGGTGTCCCAGAGACAGTCTGGCTCTGGTGTGAAGAGGTTTCTGCCTCTGATACATTGCACAAGGGGGCCCTGCGTTCCCTTGGAGCAGCTGTGGTGAGTGCAGCGATTTGTGTGCCTTGATCACAGCCCTGTGCGTGAACTGTTCTGTCACAAGGCTGGCAGAACCCCTTGGCACTGATACACCATCCAACTTCACTGGGGAAAGAAAACGCACTGGGGAAATCCTGCATTGGGAACCCATAGGTAGGGATGGAAGGGACATGAGGTGCTCCACCCTGCAGCTCTCTGAGCTTCTCATGCTGGAAGATCAGTGCTGATAAGGGGTTCTTTGGTTCTAGTGCAATTTGTGGTGGGTTCTGAGCCTAACCCATAGCTGGGGCTGCAAGAGAACTTGGCTTCTGCATCACACTGGGGCAAAAGGATGATTTTAGTTGCCAGAGATATGGGTCTGACTGTTCACAGTGCAGTTCTCTGCACTATGCACACTGCATGTCCGTGTGTGTCTCTACCGTGTGGGTGTGTCTACATGCCTAAGCCATTGTGTGTGTCTGCATAGCTGAATATTTGTGTGTTTATGGCCTGTGCGCACACACACACACATATATTGAGTATGTGTGCATTGAGTGAGCCCATGTACAGTGCTGTGGGCATACAAGTGTGCCCCCGGTGTTTGTGTGGGTGCTCTAGCATGTGTGTACCTGCACATGCAGCTCAGGTAGAAACCTCGCAGCCCTCTGGGTCATGCAGCTCTTTTGTCAGCACTCATAAAACACACGTCACCTGTGCTTGGAGAATCAAGAAGAATCAGCTGCATGAATGTGTGCTCCAGAAACACGTAAAAACCGTCACTGGCGTGAGGGGGAGAGACGAGTTTCTGCCAGGGTTAGGCTGTGATCCAAAGGCCCGGGCCTGAGCTGTGAGTCTCTGAGGAGCTAATGTACAGGGACCATTCCCTCCCCACCCCCCCGCACATCCCAAAGTGAGGACGCCGCCAACCCTGGCTCAGGGTCTCGTCACGGCTGCTGCTGGTACTGGCCCTCTGTGGCAGTGAAAAAGTCCTCAAGAACGCTCTTCATGTACTCGAAGGTGGGGCGCTCCTCTGGGCTCTCCTTCCAGCAGTGCATCATCAGTGCATACAGCTCCTCTGGGCAGTTGTCGGGCTGAGGCATTCGGTAACCGCGCTCCAAGTTCTGTATCACTTCTGGGTTAGTCATCCCTGTGGTCACAACACACAGCCCCGAATTAGGAACCGGCCGAGTCAGAGTGCAATTTACATACCCCAGTGCTGGGAGAGGCGTAGCTATGCCCTTCCCCACAGCCTGTGATCCTGCGCTATTCCCTGCTGCACCTCTGGCTGATCCAATCTGGGACTGGAGTAGCTGGGCACGTCTTCACTGTGTCCTGCAACACCCCCTCCTGGGGGGTGCTGGGCATAGGAGATGGATCCACCCCTTGACAGTCAGGGGTCCTACTATCTTTCCAACTGTATGTGGCTGATGAAATATATTAGAAATAGGTCAAAATGGTCCTGCAGTAGTGTCACACACACACACACACACACACACACACACACACATTCTGCTGATGGGCCTGGGTGTGCTGCTGTGAAGTCCTGACCTGGATAAGGGATCCGTCCATAGGTGACAATCTCAGTCAGGAGGATTCCAAATGACCAAACATCAGACTTGATGGTGAACGTCCCATAATTAATGGCTTCTGGTGCTGTCCACTTAATGGGGAACTTAGCTCCTGAAATACGCAAGGGGATTAAAAAAAAAAGGTTAAGGCTGACCTGGGAGTTCCCCACCTGCCCTCATCACTTACACCTTCGCCCATCACTTAAACTCATCCCCTTCCTTCCCCATCAGTGCCCATCTCAGAGATGTATCAGCACACTCAATGGCTTTTGGGAGGCTCCCGATGCCCTGGGCAGCCCATGCTCGGGGCAGCAGTTGGGAGACTGGTTGCTTGTTGTTTTAATTCCCATCCCCGCTCAGCCTGCTGGGGCAGGAAACACAGAATCCCCAGACCCAACACCCCCAGCCGCCCCTGGAAAATCTCTGACAATATTCACAGGAATTAAAGACCCCCACAAAAGGCCCCTAACTAGATTCTACACTGGCACTGTCGGAGGTTTTATTATTTGGAAGCGCTGTTCTCGTTTGCCCAAACTGCAGGGTTATGGGCAGTTTTATCCATTTCTACAGAAGCCCCCATTCCAGCCATCAGTAAAGAAAAGCTTTAATCTAGGGGACGTGTGAGCAATGCCCTTGTCAAGGTGTTATGGAGGGTTTTTAGCTTGCACAGCTCCCAGCACTGCAGAGCTAAAACCTTGCACAGGGTTTTAAACAGTGACTCCGAGTCTAGGGGGATAAGGGGAGAAAGAGAGAGAACAAGCATGCTCAAGACCCTAAAGCAGAACATACGGGGACAGTATGATGCATGCTAAGGACAGCTAACTACAAGGTAATTAGCTATAGATCCCTGCACTGTTGCATCAGGCTGGCTGACTCATTCCATCCTCCCAGCTTTCTACACTGGGCTCATGCCATGGTTTGTGATCCACACACTCACGACTGTCAGAGCCAACCCAGAACCCGCGATGGTCACAAGCTGGAAGGAGAAACTGAGAAGCCTAGAGGCCACAGGAAACTTGTGGAGACTGACTTTGTAACCAAGTGAAACAAACCGAAAGACACGCTCTTCTTCCCTGCACAAAATGGTGGGGTCCCGAGCCAGCGCGAAAGCTGTGCCTATTCTTGGAGAAAGGAAGGAGGAGGTGGAAAGAGAGTCACGCCTGAGCCAGTGAATCACACAAGGACCCAGGGTATAAAAACCTGCTTTGGCACTGAGAAAGATGCCCTAGACACACATCACAGACCGCTGATGTGCAGACCTGGGTATCATCTGCACATCTCATCATGGCCCCAGAGTTACTGAAACTGACCTGAGTGATGGAACTAGTGGGGTCCCCGCCCAACCCTAGAACAGATGCCAACACCGGCCTTTTAGGGCTCGCTGTTCCTGCATGAGCCACCAGAGAGGGCTCTAATCCTACAGGACTGATGTGAGTTACAGGGCAATCAGTGTCCGGAGGAGCAGCCCCTCTGCTCTAGAGAGGTTATAAATGTTTCACCCTGCTGCTCTCGTTGGCCTGGGGGCAGCCAGGCTGTTCTCTCCACATGTGTCTAGGTCCCTTACTGAAGAAAACAGTCATGACCCCATAACCTGTAAAGGTCCTGCTCTCACACTGGGAGGGGCTGCCTCTAGACCTCTAACCCCTCTCCCCCACGCCCCACAGCGTTCCTTGCACCCCATTCCACACTGGCCCTTGCCCTCAGGTTTTACGCTCTCCCCCAGAGCTCCCTCCCCCCCAGCCTACCGTGAGTGGGGGGCTGTCTCTGCACCCCTGAACCCCTTTCCCTCGCACTTCACTTATACCAGTACATTTGAGCAGAGCCTCCTGCCCATCCTGGCCAGTGCGAGGTCTCAGCCCCGCTCCCGGCTCTGCGAGACGCCAGCCTGTTTCTACCAGAAACGGCCAGATGTTCTCTGGCGCATGATGCTCGGAGCGTCCGGCTGAGGCAGCTCCAGGTCCCAGCTCGCCTCTGCAGGACCCACCCCCCAGGCACAGCTCAGGTCTGCACTGCAGCATCCTGTGCAGCTCGGGCTCACCAAGAGCTGCAAAGAGCTCAGATACACAGGGGCGACAGGTTGCTTGTGGTGGGCTCCCACTTCCTCACTGGGCTGGGATGTTACTGCGAGGCTGTGGGTGTCTATATTGAGCCTGCTGCTCTACCCCCTGCAGGAGGAGAGAGACGCAGAGAGACGCGTCAGGCCGGCATCCTGCCACGAGCTAGAGTTTCCAATGCTACATGGGCGGGTGGCGGAGGAAGAGGTTCACTACAGCTCACCCTCTGTGCAAGGCATTCACGAGCAGTGATCAGTGCCTTGGCCGGTAACCTTGTGACCTCGTGAATCCCTCAAACACTTTCCACAGCCGAGCCGCACAGTCTCACTGAAATGCAGCCGTCCGTGAGGTGCAGGGTAGTCATGTGGAGCAGGGCCGGCTCTAGGCACCAGCAAAACAAGCTGGTGCTTGGGGCGGCACATTTTTAGGGGCGGCATGGCCGGCGCCAGAATGCCGCCCCTAAAAATGTGCCCCGGCCGCCCTAGCTCACCTCCGCTGCCGCTCACGCGCCGCTACTCGCCCTCCCTCCCAGGCTTGAGAGCCTGGGAAGGAGGGGGAGAAGCGGCGCCCGCGCCGCGGCCACTCGGAGTTTCCCCCTCCCTCCCAGGCTCTCAAACCTGGGAGGGAGGGGGAGATCCCGAGCGGCCGCGCGCGGCGCGCGAAACAGCTGTTTCGCGCGCCGCTGCTCCCCCTCCTTCCCTCCCTCCTAGGCTTGAGAGCCTGGGGGGAGGAGGCAGGGCTGGGGATTTGGGGAAGGGGCGGAGTTGAGGTGGGGCCGGGGGTGGGGCAATTAAAAAACGGGGGGGGGGAAGGGGCGGCCAAAATTGTTTTTGCTTTGGGCGGCAAAAATCCTAGAGCCGGCCCTGATGTGGAGCAAAACCCTGACTCTCAAGAAGTGCCCTGGGGTCTTTACTATCCATGCAGAGAAGAGAATTTCTAGATTCCCCCCGATGACCCACCCAGGGTAAATGGCATGAAATCCGATTGCTGTTGATGGTAGATATTAGTCACCTCTGGAGGGGTTGGAACTCATGGCTGCAGGAGCCTGTTTCAAACCTGGCCACCTGTGAATGCTCCTGTTTAGGGGGAGCTGAGGGGGTTCCCCCACCCCTCCAGCTTGTCCAGATCCTCCTCCCCATCCTGCTCCCCCAGGGCAGAACCAGGGCGATCAGGGAGGTGTGAAATCCGCCCTGCTCCTCTGATCAGCCAGCAGAGGAGCGGTGCTGCAGGAGGGGGAAGTCAGCCGCAGCCAGGGGTTTCCTGGGGGCAGGAGACCCCCCTAAACTGGAACTGGAGGATCAGATTGAGAGAGAAGCTGGGGCAATTGTCCCTGCAACCTCTCACTGGGCACATCAAACACAACACCGCTGCCCTGCTGCAAGGTCCCATTCCAGCCTTGGGATCTCTGTCCCTCTGCTGTCAGGGCCCACACCTGCCCGGGGAACCCCCCCACCCTGCTTCCCAGAGAGGGGCACCCCTGCTGGTAGGGTGGAGCGGGGAAGGTGGCGGACGCACCCTCCCGGGCCGTGTACTCGTTGTCCTCGATGAGCCGAGCCAGCCCGAAGTCAGCGATCTTACAGCAGAGGGTGTCTGACACCAGGATGTTGGCAGCTCGCAGGTCACGGTGGATGTAATTCTTCTCCTCGATGAAGGCCATTCCCTCTGCGATCTGGGGAGGGGGGGCACAGAGGGGGCCGTTACACATGGCAGGGGCACAGGGGAGACTGAGGCTCTGCTCCTGCTATCTCAGTTCCACTCCCCACTGGTTGCTCTCCCCTCAGCTAGTCAAGCATCTCCTGCAGATGTCAGGGCCGGGGGGCGTGTGGTGGCCGGAGTCGGGCGTGGGGTGCAGTGGAGAAGGAAAGACACAGAGGGGAAATTCCTCCTCCGTTGGATATGGGGGGTGGGGGGGTTACTGACTGTAAACATGAGGGAGTGATGGCCGCTGGGGCTAGCGCCAGGTGCAGGACAGGCAGGTGCTGGACAAACTCCTTCCACCCCAGTGCTGCCCATGCCCCTCGGTTCTGACCAGCAGCCCGCTGCTATTCCTGCCCTGCCCCCACCCCCCAGCTCTGCCGATGCCCCTCCATCCCGACGCGCAGCCCCCCCACTGTCCAGCCCTCAGCCTCTCAGTCACGATGAAGTGTGTCAAAATGCAGGGTTCTGGCTGGATGGGCCCATCCATTCCCAGGGTATCAGGCCGAGGCCTGCTCCCGTCACTTGAGCACAAAGCCCTAGGGAACATTAACCCCCCGTGCCCCTGGAGACAGACTCTGCCAGCTCGTCCCCAGCCTGGCATCAGCCCTATCCGGCTCCCATCTCCCGGCGCTCCTCCTCCTCACCTGCGCTGCCATATCCAGCAATTTGTTAATGGTGAGTCCGATTCCTTCGGGGGTCTTGAGAAAATCCACCAGGCTCCCTGCAACAGGACCAGCCCCAGTCAATGCCAACCCTGCCCTGAAGGAACCAGCTCGGCCGCCCTCAGACCCAGCCCCGGACAGTCTCCGTCCATCAGGGCAGGGCTTCTCAAAGGTGCGAGCAGATCCAAGGCCTCCGTTTGGCCTGGGTTGTTCAGACAGGAGCAGGGACTGATTTGCTAAAACCCCACCTGGCCCAGTTGGATGAACAATGAGCCAGTGCGGGACCAGGCTGGGTTGGGTTCACAGGGTGGGGAAGGAGGTTATTGCTCCCTTTGCTGGTTTGCCATCATGTGATTTCCCTCTGAAGCCAGGAGCTTGCCCTGTATAACCCCCCCCCCAATTGCTCGACAATCAATTCACACACACAGGCACCATGCAGTGTGAACCGCCCCCGTAACGACAGACCTGGGCCACTCTGAGAAACATTCCCCAAGGACCCCTATAAGCCCCCATCGTCCCATGGGAGGATCATACTGAGAAATCAACTCCTTGAGCAACATGACCCAGGTCTAAAAATAGACCTGAACAACCCTGGAGTTGGCTGGGCAGCCTGGGTCCCATCGGCCTTTCTGCTCAACAGCCAAACATAACAGGCAGGCGCGTTTCCTCTGGCAGAGCCGCCAACTCTCAGAGGAAGGGAACACGACTCTGCCATGGAGCCGGCGAGACAGAGAAGGGCCATGCTGCACCCTCGGGATTTGCCCCTTGTGACTCTTGCTTAGCAGCCCTCTGAACTGGACTCCTGCCTTCTACGACACTTTTAAGAACACAAGAACGGCCAGACTGGGTCAGACCAAAGGTCCATCCAGCCCAGTATCCTGTCTGCCAACAGTGGTCAATGCCAGGTGTCCCAGAGGGAGTGAACCTAACAGGTAATGATCGAGTGATCTCTCTCCTGCCATCCATCTCCACCCTCTGACAAACAGAGGCTAGGGACACCATTCCTTACCCATCCTGGCTAATAGCCATTAATGGACTTAACCTCCATGAATTTATCCAGTTCTCTTTTAAACCCTGTTATAGTCCTAGCCTTCACAACCTCCTCAGGCAAGGAGTTCCACAGGTTGACTGTGCGCTGTGTGAAGAACTTCCTTTTATTTGTTTTAAACCTGCTGCCCATTCATTTCATTTGGTGGCCCCTAGTTCTTATATTATGGGAACAAGTAAATAACTTTTCCTTATTCACTTTCTCCTCACCACTCATGATTTATAGACCTCTATCATATCCCCCTGTCTCCTCTTTTCTAAGCTGAGAAGTCCTAGCCTCTTTAATCTCTCCTCATATGGGACCCGTTCCAAACCTCTAATCATTTTAGTTCTTGCCAGGAAGCTCACAGGAAGCTCACAGCCTGGAAGCTCACAGGAAGCTCACAGCCTGGCACGGAGTGGAGGCAGGCAGGAAAGGGAGAGCTATCTGTAGGTCTTGTCTCTCCCTATTCCATCCAGCCGACCTCCCTCCTCCTCTGCCAGGATTAGTTTGTCCAGGTTCACTGTCACACCCTCTGGATAATGGAGGTCGTGACCCGAACCTGCTGCTCTTGGCTCTCAGAGCAGGCAAAGGAAATGAAAGACTGCGTGAGACAATAGGCAGCGCCCGCCGGAGGGACTAGAATAGCCGCAGCGCCACGAGCCCAGGGTGGTTTCCTGTCTCATTAGTAATGAGGCAAGGGAACGCCAGGCTCCGGGTCAGCTCTCCAAGGCACTGGGGAGTTCAGATGGAGCTGTCCCTCAGGCCCAGTTCTAGGGGAAAGGGGGAAAAGCAGGACAGGGCATTTAAGAGGCTTTGCAGTAACAGTGCCCCTCTTGGGACCGCTTCCGCCACGCAGTGCTCTGCAAACAACCAGTGGATAAGCACCAAACCGTGTAACCACCAGCTGGCTGCCATCATCCCCATGCTAAGGTTGGGGAAACTGAGGCACGGGGCATTGGAGTGACTCACCCAAGGTCACACAGTGAGTAAGTGGCAGGGCTGGGAAAAGAACCCAGGCGTCCTGGCTCCTGAGTCGCTGCTCTAACAGCTGGACCACACTTCTGCCCTACTCAGTCTCTCAGTAGAGCACCGTCTGGGGGGGGGGAGAGGGAGCACTGGGAATCGAGCAAGAGCCGTAGGCACCGCCAAGCTGAGCACAAGCCTGGAGGAAGGGATGGAAGCCTCTGGATGAGCCCGTAGGGCTTTACCCGCCTCCCCCAGGCCTCGTTCTCTGCTCTGGGCGCCCTGCCGGTTCTTGCTTCAGATGCTCCACAGCTGAAGGTCTCTGCACAAAGCAGGAGGGTAGCAGGGAGCTGCAGGGGTACCGGCTGGTGGTTCTCCCCAAACTGACGGCAGCTCCTGGGGAGTGCGCGGCTCGGGATGGCAGGGTAGCTGCCGTCGGGCTCACCTTTCTCCATGTACTCCGTGATGATGTAGATGGGCTCCTGAGTCACCACGGCGTAGAGCCGCACCAGCTTGGGGTGTTGCAGGCTCTTCATGAGGTTGGCTTCTGCCAGGAAGGCGCTGGGGGACATGCTGCCCTGCTTCAGATTCTTAATGGCCACTTTGGTGTGACCGTTATAGTAACCTGCAGCGAGACGGGGCAGGGGGCAAGGAGGGAGAGGAGGCCCGTGTTACCGCAGTGAGTGGCTAGCACGATCCTCCTACCACTACACTGTCAGCCTGGGGCCCAGCCGGCACTGCTGGGAGGGAGCTCACAACAGCAGGGACTTGGGGCCAAGCCATCTCTGGTGTGACTCCATTGACTTGCCCTCCCCCAAGGGAGCTCACACAGCTCGGGTCCCATAGAGCAGTGAGTGGGGGGCATTGGAGACGCAAAGACCAGGCAGCCCCTCAGTCTATGCCCAGAGAGAGGAGATGGCAGGTACAAAGCGACTGTTGCAGCCGGCGCCCATAGGGCACCGTGTGTGGGAGATGCAGCTTCACAATCTGCACTTACTCCCTTGCGGGGGAATCTCTAGTCACATTTCGACCCGGGGGCAGGGGGGTTATTCGTGGTTCTTGGTCAACGAGAGAGAGGAACCCGCTGGGGTCTGACCTTTGACATCCTGCCCGTCAGAGCCACAAGCTCCTAGACCAGGATAGCGACTGGGGTGCTGACCCCCCCTCTCCCTCCCCCCGTTCCCAACAGCCATCTCTGCTGGAGCGGGGCCCTCAGTCCTCACCCCCATCCTGCAAACCCCTCCTGGGCGATGGAGCACACAGGGGCAGGGCAGCCCAGCAGGGCCCATGCCACTGTCTGACCCAACGGTCAAGGGGACTCAGAATGGGGAGAGAGAGGAGCTTGTGCCCATTGCAACGGCAGGTTCAGTCCATGGGTTATGGTGCTGTGACAGGACCCCCTGCCGCCCTGCACCATGGCAACCCCTCCCTTCCGGCCAGGGGAGAGGACAGCAGCCACAGCGGGGAGCTTAGAGCCTCCCAGGGTGTTCCTCGCTGGCACGGGGAGGGACAGACAAGCTCAGGCACCAGGCCTGCCCTAGGTGTCTGAAGGAAGCCCCCGCCGCAAGGTGCCAGGGTGAGACAGGAGACTGCGCCCTCCTGCTCTCCCTCCAGCTGCTGCACCACCGGGCGGTTTCATGATTTGCTCTTTTTGTCACAGCGCAGCTCAGAGGCACAAGCCCTCGGAGCAGCAGCTGGGCCCGGATACCAGAACGACAGCCACAACAAGGGCCTTTCTGGTGCGCGCGATTCTTATCAGCGCGGCACAAAACTGCCAACAGCTCCTATGCCAGGCGGGGCTCCACATGCCCAGAACAGAGAGCCAGGCCCCGTACGCACCCGCTCTCCACACCCTGCCTGGGACCAGGCAGCCCAAACCCAAAGGAAGCTGGGGTCTCTGTCCGAGCACTGGGACTCAAGCCTGTCTCCACCAGGGGTTCTGGGCACCAGCGCATGAGGCCAGGGCGGGAGTGGAGGCGGAAGAGGCTGTGGGGACATTGAGCCCGATTGTCAGTTACTTGATTGGGGCAGGAGTGGAAGGTGGGATAGAAGTGGCATTAGGACATCTTTGCGCTCCCCATATTCTGGGCAGTGCAGGGGTCTGCCTGGCTTCTGGTGTAAGTTAGAGCAGCCTATGTTTTCCTTCCCTTTGGTCCCTGGGAAGCAGGTAATAGCTGTCGTGCAGTGTACTCCAGCCACGCCCTGATCCGCCCCCCCTCTGCCAGGGGCGAGGTTAGGACCCTTATCCATCTCTACGCCAGCCAAGGGCTATTTCCACCTCCTTTTCACCAAGGCAATACAAAAGGCCTCAGGGGAAGGTCCCTGAAGAGGAGGGGAAAGAAGCTAGGGAGTGCTGAGCAGATCCAGGGCCCACTCGGAGGGCGTGAGTTCCGGACTGAAGCCGGAACTCAGGTGCTTTGAGGTCCAGCTCCCATGTGGCTCTGTGCTGCCGTGTGCTGTCCTGGGTTATTTGCTTGGCAGCCCTCGGGCGCTGGATGAGAAATGCCCTCAGACAGGAAGCTCCACTGTCTGGGCAGCGCTGGCTGCTGTTTACCTAGAAATCCCCGGACCCCGCTGCATTTCCCTTGAAAGCTGAAGTCCCTGGAGCACGACTGCCGTGGCTTTCCACTGGGATTGACAATGTGAAGACAAAGGGAGAGCCCTGGCGTGTTAGCCAGACTGACCCCTGGGGTCATGCCCCCGGCACACACCACCTGGAGTGCCAGCCACCCTGCACGCCACAGGAGCACTGAGGCCGACAGGCCCTTTTCGCCAGTGCAGCCTCGCAAGAACCGAGATTTGCAGCTGTGCACTGGGTTGGGGGTTGCAGGCGCTGGGCCAGAGCACCCGGGGCGAGAGAAGAAGGAAGCAGGGCTGGCCTGCCTTGCTGGCCACTGAAAATGGCACCACCCCTCCCTTCCTCTTCTTGGCAGCCAGGGTTAGGGGCGAGCCGAAAGTAAAGCAGCAGGGAGGGCAAGTAGAACATGTGGGGGGAACCCAGCCACAAGGAGGGAACTGTGGCCACCTCCCTCCGTGGCACCAAAGGCCTGGTGATGGGCAGGGCCGGGTGAGCCACGTCCCTCAGCAGGCCCTGTCCCCCCCCCCCCCTTTGCATCCCACATCCTGCGTGGGATGCAGCTGGGCCTCTGTCCAGTGCAGCCCCGTCTGTGAGTGAGAAGCCAAAGGAAAGGGGAACAGACACCTGGGCTGGGCCTGGGACCCAGTCTCTGGGCAAGTCTCCGCCCCCTGGTACTGCTGAGCCCTGAGGTCTGTTTCTAACTCGTTTCACCCTGGGCCAGCCCTTCGCCCTGGCGGGAACGGGAAGAGGCTGCGCTGAGCTTGGGAGCTGGGCTTGTGAATCAGGGCTGGCTTTGTCCCTGGGAGGCACTGGCAGCCTCTATTTACCCACAGGACAGGCACAGCCCCAGAGGGGGGCGGGGAAGAGACGGCTTCCCACCCACCCTGGTCCCCTGCCCATGGGCCTCAACCTATCCCGCAGGACGGTGCAGCGTGGGGGTCCAGCCCCACCGTTCCAATCCCGCTGCACCATGTAAATGACAGCATGAGGCACCCGGGAGCCATTAGCCAGGGGCCGGGGGGGCTTTTGCAACATAGACATTTGCCCCGCTAACAACTGGCCTGAGACCCTGCCCAACTCATCTCACATGGGGCAGCAAAGAGCCATCCGACGGGAATGACGTTGGATCCCTACACACCTGGGCTGGAGTAGGACCAGCGACCTAGGAGTATCCTCTTACCAGGCCTCCCTTCCCTACACCATCCTACGCTGTGTAGGGCAGGAGTCCACACTTCCACTAAACCCAGCCGCTTCTTCCAACCACAGCCCGGGCCCTGCCTGGCAGAGTCTGGATAACCGTCCAGCACCCATCATCACTGCCCTGGGTGGGCTCGCAAGCCTGCCCCTCCCCAGGGTCTTCGTTCAGTTCCTGCCGTGCACCCCCCCAGAAGACAAAGTGCCCGAAGGTGGTCCTGGAACGAGTCCTACCCCCAACCTCCTCTCCCTTCTCCCACTGGCCACAGCCCTGGGGAGAACTTCCTCCCAGGATGCAGATACAAGGAGAGGAGCTGAGTCAGCAATCAGTACCCCGAGGAACTGCAACCACAGTGCCAGTCGGATGCAGGCGAGAGTGACAGCGGAAGGCAAGGGGGCAGAGAGCCAAGGAGAGGGCCTCCCCTCCGGGCCTCTCCTTGGTATTGCTAAATGTACTGTAATAAATCCAGGGTCACTAAGGAATGCCCCAGCGGTCACTATTCTGCACCCTCTGGGCACCAGCAAGGATGGAACCCTGATCCCCCTGCACCAAAAGCACAGGCCTGCTCGAGCTGCAGGAGACTCTCCATTCCCTACTGGCAGTATAGGGCCTATGACTCACAACTAATGAGTTTTGTTTCCATCCGGAAAAGGGCGGCGGTGCTCATGCACACTAGTCAGTCACAGTATTAAACCCATCCCCTAAATGTAGCTGAGATCCATGTTTATTCACAATGTGACCTCATTGTTTGGAGGCTGGGGGTCCTGCTGTCCTCTCACTGCACCCTGTGACCCTTCCTCCAGCCCTTGGCTGAAGACGCCTGCAGGCAGCTTTTGGGACCCTGTCAGGGCCATTCCTAAATGCCAGCTGGAGCAGGATTCTGCACATAACCAGACATTCCCCTGGCCATGCCTGGGAGCCGAGCCCACCAGTGCCACCCCGCACCCAGTGACTGGCCTGCCTGTCAGCGTCACCCACCTCAGGGCCGCTGTCATGGCTGCTGGTTTACTCACCCATCCAGACCTCTCCAAACTGCCCTGCTCCCAGCTTTTCCACCAGCTTGAGAGTCTCCCGAGGCACCTCCCATTCGTCTTGCCACCAGGGCTTCTGCGGCTTCTGGTTCTGGCAGGGCTTGCCCAGGCGGGTGCACAACCCATCTATATTGCCTGCAGGGCGGGGAGCAGGGGAGGCAAATCAAGGGGTAAACATGAGGCTGCATGAAGAGCAAAGGGGACGCACACAGGACGGGGCGAGGGAGTGCAGCCAGGGCCAGGCACTACAAGTGCTCAGTGACTCGCTACCAGCTTTTGCGGATCCATTTGTCCAGAGCGAAAGCTCATTCGCCTTCACGAGAGGAGACGAAACACAACTCAGCCTCAGAGAGACTGCACAGTTCCCCCTGTCCCAGCTTCTCCCTGCAGGAGGCGCTGTGGGGTATGGGGTTTAGGCCCTGACTCTGGGACAGCCCACAGCTCCTCCCATCCCAGCCTCTCCCTGCAGGCGGCGCTGTGGGGCACGGGGTGCGAGAGCTGTTGTACGTGTCCATGGGAGGTGGAACCGCAGTGGTTCCCGCAGTGATAAGTGGACGTTTCAGTGCCCACCCTCCCTTGGGTTGCTGTGCCCTCTCCTGGCAGTGCTCGGGGCCTTACGTGTGTAATGCTCCACCAGCTCGTGCAGGCTGCTGAAGGTGATGCGAGGGGAGATGTAGTACCCCCCATTGTCCATGTTCCGGATCTTGTAGTGCTTCACCATCTCGCCTTGGTTTTGGTCAAAGTCCCTCACTGACAGGGAGAAGGAACCTAGCGAGGCCAACAAGAAACAAGGAATGAGGCCACTGCGGGCTTGGTCTCCTTTTCTCGCCTTGAAGACTCCTGCCCCACAGTTCCTGCTCCCCTGCCCACCCTCCCCCAGGGGTCTCCCGGAGCAAAGCTGGACCGTGCCAGGCACCGGCAGAGGTGCGCCAACAAGCCAAATCCTGCTCCCACGGCCGTCACCACAGCACCACAACTGGCACAAGACAGTCTTGCGCTCTGGGCTGTTTGTACCATCCCCAGAGCCAGGGTAAGACAGTGCAGAATGGCAAGTACCCGCCCCTCTGCTTTATAACCTGAGCAGCTGAACGCCAGGAGGAGGGGAGCACCCCCACACACAGCCCAGTTGTGCAAACACGCGCACACACCCATATAGGAAGTAGTGTGGTACAGTTGCTGGTTTGCTGGGAGGAAACCCACTGCCAGAGGCCCAGCTGGCACTGTCAGGGCACTGCTATGGGGAAGCTCACGCTGACGGTAGCCCTAGTGGTACAATCAGGCTACTAAAGGATTGGATTGCCCGTAGAGTAGCAGACGGCGTTAACACTGTGCGTTCAGAGTATCAGGCAGGAGGCAGGCTCAGAGGTGCCAGACACGGGCACCCCCCCCCCGGCCCTCCGCTCACTGGCCGCAGGTTACCTTTGGTGGATTCGCTCTCCCGGATCAGGAAGGAGCCATGCGTGTTCCCGGAGGCCAGGAGCTGGCGCTCAGCGTCCTTCCTGCTGAGGTTTTTGAAGAACCAGCTGCATGGACCAAGACAGAGTTAGTGCCATGCAGGCTCGTGCTCCACTACCCCGCTGCCCACCCCCACGCCAGCAGAGCCCCAACCAGAGATGCATCCTAGGAGGACAGGAATCAGGGATCCATTGGGGCTCACGTAGCCCAGTCCCCTCCCGCCCTAGGACCGGGGGCATGTTTCCTAGCCCTGCAGCCAGGCTCAGGGCAAATATGGCCAGGGCTGAGACTTCCCTCTGGGGGGGCCTGGGCTGGGGGGAGAATAGTGAACCCAGACAACACATCCACTCACGGTTCCGGCTCCAGGCTGTTCACCCTGGCGACGAAGTTATAGGGAATGTACCCTTCCTGGCCAGTGGTGAGTGACTGGGCCTTCCACCACTCCCCACTCCTGAAACGAGACCAGAAGAAAGGGCAACGTCAGCCCCCCAGTCCTGCTGGGGAGGGGCGGTTCCGCGGACACAGAGGTCTTGGTTGAAAGAGGCCAGTGGGGCCTCAGATTGGCATGGGGAAGATGCTCCCAGCTGGCTGGGAAGGTGGCAGACTGCCTGGTGATGCTGACTCATTTGAGGGTCGTCCCTCCCCCCACTTCTTACCTTAGTGTCCAATGGGCACTTCCCTCTCACTTGTAGCTTATTGCTAAATGCAGCCACATCCCCTTCTCCCTCCCTGAGGCAGGAGTGCAAGGCACCAAGGGCCCTGCCTGCCTCCAGTTCTGGGGTCCCACCAGGAAACTGCAGGCAATCGGCGGCAGCAGGACCCCTCTCTGGCAGGTGCTTGTCCGGCAGCACGGACCGGCTCATTAGCCTGCAAGGCTGGCCGGAGAGAGCATGCTCCAAGTGGCTCTCCAATGCATGGCTTAGTGTGAGTGGGGAAAAGGCAGCAGACTTACTCCTCCAGAAGTCGGAGCGTCTCCCCCTTCTGGAGGCCCAGGTCGCCATCGTGAGTTGGTTCATAGTCATACAAAGCTACCACTAGTTTATCTGGAAAGAAAAGCAAGAGATCTCTTTACGAGGTGGCTGGACAGAGGCGAGGTGCATCAGGGGCCTGACAGTGGCCTGCGAAGCCTTTCACCTCCTGGATGCTAGTTTGGCCCCAGCTCCTGTCAGTTAGCTATTGCCAGCTGATGGCTGTATGGTGGCTTACATGAAATGAGTTCAACAGGGCTCAACCCAGCGTCCAATGAGCGCTAATTGGAAGTCTCCTCAGAGAGTTGAAAGTGGAATGGTTGTAAAGGCTGGAACCCGAGAGGTGGCCCCTCTGGGTCGGAGTGGAAGAAGCCCATGGTTGGGGGCAGAACTGGGGGGAATTCAGAATTTTTGTCCCGTGGGAAATGGCGAGAATTCAAAATCGGGTTCTGCCCTGAATCAGGAGGAAAAGTTGAAAAGCCCAGAATTTTCCATGAAACAAAATATTCCACAAGTCTTTCATTTCAGCCTCAGGGAAGCGTTCCATTTTGGCATTGATCCTTTTCACTGTTACTTTTTATTCTATTATGAATGTGATCATTTCCCACCAAAAACATCGATGAAACGGACCCGTTCCAGCAAAAGGGTTTGATTTTGTACAAATCAGCGTTTGCCGACGGCGGAGGCTTCCGCTGGAACATTTTCAACCTGCTCCAGGAGGGGGTAAAACTTGCACTGGGGCTGTGTGCGCAAGAGAGGCCTCTGTGCCCCACGGGCCGTTGATCAGCGCTCAGTTTAGATCCACACAAGCTAGAGGGAGGACTGAGAGGGGAAGAAAAGCAAAGAGAATGAGAGGAAGAGGAAGATGACGGGCTCGACTCTCCCCTGCACTATGCCTTACATTGTCTATTACACTCGTGCAAAGTGGGAGTAAAAATTCTACCCTCCTTTTGCACGGAGGTGAGCAATGGCACAAGGTGCAGGGCGAGAGAGGGTCCGGCCCAAGGTGTCTCTATGAATGGCCACAGGTGAGTTATTGGAAAGACTTCACCTTTGGGAGTCACGTCGCTAACATGCACTTTTCCTTTCCCACCGATGAGCTATCGTTCCACTAGCTGGGACTGACTCATTTGCACAGAACCCGCTGGTGACTCAGAGCCTGGGCTGCTTCCCCAGCACCGGAGACCCCTTTTCCCCTAGCGCTCTGGTCTGCGGGTACCAACCTTGCATAGGAGAGCAGGGCGGAGAAGGAATTTCATAGGACACCAAAGGATCACGCACCTCGGAGCCATTGTGTCTCAGCCTCTGGAGGGAAGAAAAGAGACCAGAGTGAAGGGGATTTCTCTGATTTTCTCTTCTAGAAGGAACTCCCACCCCCGCACCCAGCTTCTTCCAGTCTCCCCCTCACACCGTCCTCTCAGATTCACTTCCTCCCCAGCCGGGCGTTACCAAGGGCTTCCCCTTCCAGTTGCCTGAGTGAGGAGTTTCTCTGTGCTTTGGGTTCACAGGCTCCTCCTTGGCTGCACGAGACCCTTGCATACTGGATCCCAAACGCTCGGCACTGCGGAGCTGCTGCAAGTCTTAGCCTCAAGTATGGCCATTTCCTCCACCCATGCCAGTCCAAAAGGGCACCATCCCTATGAAAAGCCCTCCCCCACCCCGATGCTGTGATGAGAGGCGAGCTCTCCCCCATCCGCCTCACCTGGGGTTTACTAGCCGGGTCTATGGGGTAATTGCAGCGCTCACAGATGTCAATGTTCTCGATCCAGTCTTCGTCATAGTCAGAACTGCAGCAACAGCCCATGGTCCCTGCAGGAAGAGGGGGACGAGAGCCAGAGGCTGTGAAAAGGGAGGGTCCGGGTCTTCATTGCTCACCCAGAGGGACCTGAACATCCCAGCGCAAACCAAATGCAAACGGGCGCGTCCCTGGAAGGCAGGCGACAGTCTCACCACAAGTAACAGGTCCGGCTGGAATCCAGTCTCCTCCCTCGTTCTAAAGGAGGCCTCAATAGCCCCCCAGAGGGCAGGGAAGAACTAGGTGTTGGCTCCTCCAGAGGCACAGGGCTCGGTTGTGGGGCCGAGGCATAGCATGGGGCCATCCCCACTCAGGGGGCATTTAAGGAGGAAATATGCCTCTGGGCCTCCCCTCCCTTTCTAGGTTGATGTGTGGTCTTCAGTTGTCACTCAGTGCTTAAGGTACATGCAAGAGCTCACCTGTGCATAACAAGAGGAGCTTCCCAGTGCCCCACCCAGCCTCTCTTTCTGGGAAGTTCAGCCCTTGAAGGCACAGGCCACTTCGACACCACGGTATGTGTCCCCCGGAGGAGCAGTCTCTCACGCGCTCCAGAGCATGACTGTGACCAGCCCTCCGGCAGGATGCGTAAAGGGCTGGGAGAGTCTGTACACGAGTGACAGCTGCCATCGTGGTTGGGGAAATAAACCCAGGACCTCCAAAGCTAAAAGCATGAGTCTTTACAGCTTGAGCTAAAGAGACAACCGCTGTAGCAGGTGGCTGCACAGACTCTGTGCATCGAGCACAGAGGGGGACATGGGTGCCCCATACTCTCACACACACAGTAATTGGCTCCATCTGTCTGAGGAGTGGAGGGAAGTTAATCAGTGGTAATATCCTCTTACATCTCAACTGCACTTCCCATCCCAAGCCAGGCATAGTGCTTTACAGACTTCACAGCTTGAGATATTAACTGTGTATTCACTGCTTTGCCTGCCACAGCAGAAACGCAGCCATCTCTGGGATGGAACGCAGCCGCCATTTATTAGACCACAGCAACGTTGCACAAGAATTTAGGACAGGAAGTGATGGAACTGGGACTGCGAAGGGAATTGAGGGAGGCCGAACAAAATTATCCACGTTGGAATCTGGCCAGGACATTGGAAGAAACGCCCCTGATCATGCAAACAACACGATTGAGTCTTTAATGACCATAAGCAAGCAGGTCCTTGGTGTTATGCCTAAATACAGCACGACAGGGCCCTTAACACCAGGGCCATAGCAACAAAGAACGTGGCCCCCTCTGAACGGTGGTCCCCTCCAAACATATGTCCAGGCGGGGCCCCTTACAATGCAGAAACTGGAATGCGGTATTTATTTTGCCACTTTTAGGGGCCCCCTTCCTTGCGGGGCCCCCTCCGGTCGGAGGGTACGGAGGGCGCTCGCTACGCCTCTGCTTAACACCACGCAAAGACATTGGCTCAAAGGTGAACAGACTCCGCCTCCTAAAGCACCAGGGTCATCTTCGGTCCCCCTCCAGGTGCTGACCTCTCTTAACCCTGCATAGCCCTGGAGATCGCACAGAAATCACAGCTCCAAGGGGCGCAGCTGCAGATTAGCCCCAGGTAACTGTCTGCCATTCAAAGGATCGACCCCGATGCAGAGAGCAGTTTATGAACTCCAGCCATTCAGCCCTTGACAAGCCCATTCCCCAGAGAGCTCCCTGACACCAGGAACAAGACCTGGGAAGACAGGACAAGACAAGCTGCCCCAGCCAGCAGAACCAGCTAGAGTGCCCAACCTTGGGAATTTGCATCTTAATCCCCTCTCTCAGGGGCATGATCCTTGCGTGCTACTCTCATCGGCGTCCATGCAGAGCACGGACAATACACAGGCCCGGTGTGTGCTTCACATTTCCTCTGCTGGGGCGACCCCACTGCTTCATTCGCTCCCATTTCCAGCTTCCCCATCCGCTAAGGACGGACGAGAGTTACTAGCTGAGGCACTGGCAGGGGCATTGTTTGGTGCCAGGCTGTACTCCAAGTCCTTCTGCCCGTTGGGACAAGTTTCCAGCCAGGGCCACAACTTTTGGATGGCTCCTTATTTTAGGAGCCCAACTTGAGACCCTGAGGCGTGATTTTCAGAGGTGCCAAGCACTCCCCCATTCTCAACGCTTTCAACACGCACGACCGGTTCCTCGTAATCAAGAATCAGCCAAACGGGCAGAATCACCCCAGCAAACAGACTAACCTGGGCCCGGCGTTTGAGATGACGAACTCTGAAGAGCTCCCGTAACGGCACACCCAGGAGTGTGGGTGGCACGTACATACAAACATGTGGTATGTGCAAAACAGCAGGCGGGGGTGTCAGGGGCGGGCTGGCAAACGCAGGCCTTGCCAGCGGAAAGCGCCCTTTTCGCGTTAGCCGCACAAGTCACCTGGAAAGCATGGCCCTCCCTCAAACGCTGAGCACAGCATAAATCGAGGGGGTGGGGGGGAGGAGGGGAATGCCGCCCAGTGAGTCAGTCTGGAAAGGTCAGCCCACAGCCACGGAAAAGCCTGGCTTAGGGCATCTCCCTCCTCTGCCTCCCTCGCCATCGGTCTGCTCCGCACGGTGCCGAGCATCCCCAGCTCCCTTTGAAAACTGTGAAGGGTGAGAGAGCTCAGAACTCACCGGCGCTGGGCCCTAGTGGTTTGGAATTCGTGCTGAGGGGCCTTGCCTGTCTCTGAGGCTTCACATTTATAGGTGCTGGACAACCGCGGAAGCTAAGATGAGAGGTGGCTCTTTTAATAGAAACTGTCGGCTTCGTTCATTTCAGGTGATCGTGTAATGGGTGCTGTGAGGGGAGAGCCCAGTGGCACACAGCTCTCCCATGTCTGCAATGGCCTGGTAACGTTCTCTGGGGATAGGGAACTATGGCCCAGAGAGACTAAGTGACTTGCCAGAGGTCACACAGAGCATCTGTGGCAGAGCAGGGAATCAAATCTGTCTCTCCCTAGTCCTAGGTTAGTGCCCTAACCACGAGAGCAGCCTTTCTCTCTCAGTGCTTGCACCTTGCGTGACCATCTGCACCTGGCATATAACCTTGTCTCTAGCGATATGAGAGCCTCTCCTCTTGCCCCCTGGAACAGCCTGCCTGTATCTCACTGGCTCATCAACTCACCATTTGTTTTCCATTCCTCCTCTGAGCACCTATCCGTTAGCCCTGGCTCCGGCTCCTTGATTTCCTCCCAGCGCTGGTAGCTATTCCCCTCCCCGAGGTGGGTTTTTTTAGAGTGGTGGGAGAGCTCTCTCCCAGCGCTGGTGCTGCGACTACACAAGCCATGTTTTCATAGATTCATAGATTCTAGGACTGGAAGGGACCTCGAGAGGTCATCGAGTCCAGTCCCCTGCCCTCATGGCAGCGCTTTAATGTTGCCAGTGAAGATGTGCCGGAAAACTTTTGTTGCTCAGGGGGGTGTTTTTTCACACCTCCTGAACGACAAAAGTTTTAGCGCTGAAAGTGGCGGTGTAGACACAGCCCTAGTGTGTAAGAATGAGTTCACAGCAGTAGCAGGTAATACACCAGTCCCTGAGCCCCCCTGCCCTTTGGTATGGTGTGAAACGCACAAAGGGAACAAGCTGAGAAGCTTGATTCTCCACTCAGTCAAACTGGCTTCACACCAGCATAGTTCCTTCTAGTTGCATCAACCGGGATGAAAAATCAGGCCCAAAGAATTATTTTCTCTCTGGCATATTTCATCTCTGCTAATCTTAGACTTCACTTGTAATAGCAGCGGGGGGGGGCGGACGTTTAGACTGAAATGTGGCTTTTGACATTGAGAGTTTCCCTTTAACTTCACGTTAGCATTATTTAAGTTGGCAAAGTATTTCAGGCTGGAGCAGATGGAGCCGGAGTAGCGCCACGGACAGCCAATTTCAATATTGTGAACCGTGAGCGTTACAAAATCATGAATCGGGCCGCTAAATAGCATGAGATGGGCTTAAAATCATGAGGTTTTTCTCTTTGCCTTTTGGGTTTCTGAGCCTTTAGGATTTTTTCGGCAAACATGAGAACTAGAAACGTATCTTTTTTGTCTGTTTGTTTTCAATGAAACCTGAGATCCTCATGCCATATTAGGATTTCCCAACCTGGGACTTTAAGAACACCAAGTGTCACGCGAGTCGAGATAAAATTGTGAGAGTTGGCCACGTTGCAATTGACACCAGCTGAGGCTCTTGCCTGTGAACTGGTTTTTCCCAGGCTATGCTCTGGGTCCCTGTGTATTCGGATCAATTTGTCCAAAGTGGCCACTTACGTTGGAAGCTTCCTTTCTTGGGAACCCAACTGGAGACACCTGGGGCCAGATATTCAGCACCCACAACTGGAATGACGTCAATGGGAGCTATGTGTACTCAACACCAGGACCCAGGTGTCTCCGGCTGGGGTACTCACAATCAGAGGCTGCTTTTGAAAATGTTAAGCTTGATCTGTTATCAGCGAGTGCATCTGTTCTAAAACAAAGTGGTGCAGCTGGTGCGCCTAGCTCATTTGTAATTGTTCTTTCCCCCTCCCTGGTGCAGCCCTGTGCTAATGTCTGTTTAAGCAGGCAGCAGACAGGCACAAGGAGGTGGCTTTTCGAATACACAAACAGCAGTTAAGCACCCAACGCTCAGCAACTTTCAATGGGACCCAGACGCCTACTTGTCTTTTGTGCTCTTAAAAATCTCCCCCCAACAAGATGGGACATTGGCTGAAATGGACTGAGCTGGCACTAAGAATTCTCTGTCTCGGGTGCTTAGCTGGAGGGTTTTGCTCACATGCTCAGGGCCTAATTGATCATCATATTCAAGGTCAAGAAGGAATTTCCCCCTAGGTCAGATTGGCAGGGACCTTGGGGTTTTTTTCATCTTCCTCTACAGCATGGGGCGCGGGGCGCTTGCCAGGATTTATCTGGGTATAGCTCACTTAATCAATTTCCTGCCGTGGCAGAAGCCTTGGGGACTGGTTCACCTTGGTCCCTCCTGTTCTCTGCCTGTGGCACCCCTTGGGTCTGATTCTGGTGGCGGAGTGGCTGGCTGGTGTTTAAAGGCCCATGATC